CTTTGGGGGGCGAGGAGTTTAACGACTCAGACATTAAATTGTCGGCACGTTTGCGTGCGAGGCTACATCGATATTCCATCGATCAAGGCCTGTTGTGCTATAGCACGGATGTGGAGGATTTTCCCCGTATCGTTGTCCCTCATGATGAGGAATTGAAGTATCGCAACCTCTATGAGGCGCATGATACTGCGGTGGGCGGTCATCTCGGTCGAGAGAAGACATATAGCTCCGTGAGCCAATATTATTGGTGGCCCAAACTTTACAAATGGGTAAGCACATATGTGCGTACGTGTGAAACGTGTCAACGGGTGAAACCCTCAGCTCATGCGGCTGCGCCGCTGGCTAGTTTGCCTATACCCTCTGGGTGCTGGGAGTCCATCAGTATGGATTTCATGTTCGGTCTGCCGAAAGATGTGCAAGGCAATACGGGTGTTGTGGTCTTTGTTGACCGTTTGAGCAAGATGGCTCACTTGGCGGCTGTGCCAGATACCATTGATGGTGAAGGTACAGCTACGCTGTTTATCGATCGAGTGTTTCGACAACACGGCTTGCCTGTGGCAATTGTCTCTGACCGAGACCCTCGCTTCACTGGGAAATTTCGGAAGTCCATCTTCAAGGTGCTCGGCACACGTTTGGACATGTCCACGGCGGATCATCCGCAGACCGATGGTCAAACCGAGCGATTCAATCGCGTTATCGGTGACATATTACGCAGTGTTTGCGCTAATACACCAAAACGTTGGAGTTCGATGCTTCCTGTTGTTGAGTTCGCGTTAAATAACGCTGTTCACGCCTCTACAGGCTTTACTCCGTTCTACGTGAACGGTCTCACACACCGTCGCGTTCCGTTGACGCTACCACTGCGTGGTTCAGGGCTTGGTGGGGGAGAGATGGCCGATCGGCTTGCTGATATCAGCCCTGCTACTGTTCATAAACAGGTATGCGAGTTTCTCGCAACGCGCTTGAATGTGTTACGACAAGTACGTGATGCACTGGCTGATAGCCAAGATAAACAAAAGGAACAAGCTGATGCTAAGGGAAGAGGATGTATTGAACGTTATGAGGTCGGAGACCAAGTTCTACTCAATGCTAAAAACTTACCTACAAATGTAGTGTCTGCCGTCTTCAGGACAAAGTTGCGTCCGCGCTTCATTGGTCCATTACGGTTATTGCGAAGAAGGGATTGGCGTATACGCTCAACCTCCCTCGCAAACTGCGCACGCACCCAGTGTTCTACGTTGGCTTACTTAATCCGTATCGGGATCCATCCCATGTGAACTCGGAGGCGCTTGCGCCGGGTAATAGGGCCTTGCCGTCGGCTGTTGCATCCGAACCAGGAGGTCAAGCTGACCATCCACACGGGCTAAGGCCAACTCCAATACTTGAACACGGGCTTGCATCGCGTCGAGCGCACTCTGGGTCTTACCCAATGTCTCTTGGAGACCAATCAGCTCACGGAGCACCTTCTCATGCTCCTCCTTCGGTACCCCGACCACCACCGACTCTGCTCGATGAGCAAGGGAACCACCAGTTCCATGTGGAGCGACTCCTTCAGCGACGTCGTCGTCGTGGCCAATACCAGTATCTGGTGAAGTGGAGAGGGTACCCGGAGTCGGAGAACTCGTGGGAGTATGAGATACCCCTTCGGCAGGACTGCCCTTACGCCGTGGATGTTTTTGAACATCGTGGCCAGGGTCGCCTTGCGAGCGAGAACGCTTCTCACCAATAGTGGTGGGAGGTGGCGTGTTGCTCCGCACCTTAGGTTCGTCACCCGTGGCTACCATTGTAGCCGGAGCATAACGCGTACGTGTACGCAACTGGCCTCTGGCCTTGAGCTTGGCATACTCGAAGCGGAGCTTCCGTTCCAGACGAACGTCAGCCACATCTGCGCTGGCCCGCAGCGTTGGCACACTGCTAAGATGCCGCTTGCGGTACACCCAACGGATGAACTCATTGTCCTCCTCCTCGGGCAGTTCGCCAGCTAACAACAAGATGGGCACGCCCTTTCTCGGTCGAACCGAAACACCACGAGAAAGACTCTCAAGGTGTGCAAGGTACTGACCTTGCGTGGTGAAGGCTGGTTCGAGATACCTCTCATTTAAAGCCTTGCGAAAGGCGATATCTTCTGGCGACGTAGCCTCGGGGCCAATGGCCCATGTTGAAAGGCTATGGTCTTCCGTTTGACGGAGGCGTTGCTCCACGTCTGGTGTTGAGAACACGTAACCACTCCGGTTTCGAATAACCGCCTGGGTATGAGTGCGACGTAGAGCACGCTCCTCACGCTGACGGGTCAGCTCCTGTTGTTCGTCGAGCGGGTTCGTGATGATGGTCTCTCCTGCATCTGCTGTATGATGCTGCGCCACTGGCGCGGTGGTATCACCACGTTCAACGAACGGATTCGGTGCTGTTAGAGGACGAGCCTCAGGTACAGCGGAGTGGGATAATATCCCGTCATCTTCATGGACACTGGTATCAATACCATAGTCCACATCCTCGTCGAAGTCGAGGTAAGATGAAAGAGTCCGAGACTCGTTGGGTGGCAATGCCATGGTGTTTCGTGTTTAGCAACCGCGAGGTTAAGCACACACACACACCGACCTCTTCGAGGAAAGAAGCCGATTGACGATTTGTGGTAACGTCAGTCTGGTGGGGGAGGGTGTAACGGGGTTACACGTCGGCTGGTAGTCGACGATAGGTGTGGTGCACACAAGAGAGGGGGTACCCTATAAAGTAATTCTAGAACACAGTGAGTGTATCAATTGTTGAAGACCGATGTCTGTCATCAATTGATTGCGAGATCTTTTAAGAGGTTATTTAGGGCAGGTTAAATACGTTGTTCTAAGGTGTTCTTTTAGGCTAATTAAAGAAATAAAAATTCAGTTCCCCTTTTGATCAACATAAGACACGTGCCTTGCGAGGCGTCTTGATCGGAAGAGCTAGAAACGCCTGTAAAGGTAGCTGCTCTTGAGCACTCTGTGCTGTGATTTTCTTGAATCGTTTGGTCCCCCTGGAACAGGGACCGTAAGCTCTCTGAGCTTGTTGACTCTCTGAGTCGGGTTCGTAGAACCAAAGTTGCTCGTAAGAGCGTTAAGTCTTCCTCGGACTTAAGGAGCTGTGTAGCTCCGCTACAACGCCGATCTGGCATGTACAAGTTCTTAGTGGTCATACGACAAAGACAACTAACAAAGCAATTACGACACGAAACAAACCTGTACAAGATAGATGGTGAACGTTTAGGACAACGCCAAACCAAATCCAATCTCCGTGCATAGATTTGAGTACAGCGATCTACAAGGCTGTGCGTTCTAACCATAAGCAACATTGACATGTCATAAGGCCGTTACGAATAGCTCATGTTCGTCTAACTAACTGGTACACAAGGTAGTCACGAGATGTGAGAAGAACACACGGGTCGGGGTCATTTCGTAATAAGTCTGCCAGTCCGGTCACGATGTCAAGTGAATGAACAAGTCGAATCGCCCACAACTCATCCTAGATTGCTATAATCAATAGACAGCAGCCGTGAGGGACCTCACAACATCAATCAAGCCTATATGTGTAAGATATCGGTTTATTCCAGGATTGTTTTGGATAGAAATCTAACAAGTTTGTGTAATCGACACCGACAGGCATCCTGGGATCCGCCCATGTGTTGCCCATAACCATCACATGGCAGCAGGAGGATCCGAGTCCATCGGATGAGTTCCAACAGTGGAAAAAGCGGTGGTGTTTCCTGTGCATGGACTTCAGCGATAGCCGAACGAAGGGTACTAGTGTGTCCAAAATATTGGTGATGAATAAGTAAGTGACTAATATGTACAAGAGCCGATCTGACACCACCAGACCACCTCGATTGCTCAATCTCTTTCACATAACTACGATGGACATATAAGAAAATGATTGAAATTTGCACATTCTCTTTAGATCCCAGGCGTCTATACGTTCGAACGTACAGTATACGTCGTTGGTGCATTCTTACCGTCCAATCTTGGGTTTCATTCGACTGTTCGATCGTGTGGTCCTTTTTTGATTTCTATCGACAACTTTTCATTTTATGTTTGATCACATTAGAGATTTTCTCTACATGCCATTGATGCTCAACCAAACATCATCGAGGCGTCGTCGTTCCGCCTGTCATGTAGCACGCCAAAGAGTCGATCATAATTTGCTTCCTGTGCAAGCGATTCACACCAACCTGATTCACACCGGTCTGGTCAAGTATAAGCGTTATAAGTCCTGTATTGTAGTTGAGAATGGTTTTGTTTGCTTTCACACCGTCACTGTTTCGAAGACCACAAAAACATGCGCAGTTTGACAAGCACATTGTGTCAGACAAGATACGGTAACGCCTTTCGCTCCCCACGTAAAACCTTCTTCGCTCTCATTATTCAAAAACAGCAACAACTAGGAATGTGATACGTAGTCGCTGCATTGCGTGAGGTTTCGCGCGATACATCGACAGGAAAACGTCCAGATGTATTTACATAGCCTGACCATTCCGTGTGAGTTAGTGCAAACGATCGAAAGTAGATCGCTTACCGAACGTTGACTACGAAAGGTGTAGTCGACGTCACAACTGTTTTGTTTCCCACATTGCTGATACCGATCATCTAGAAACACGCACTTCTCGCGCGCGAAATATTGCCGTCTCAGCTCATGTCGATTATCACTTTGCTGCCATCATCTATCATCGTCTCGACAACAACAGAAAAGATGCTGCAAGAGCAGAAACCGCTCACGTACATGTAACAACATCGAGCACCTGTTGTCCTCGGCATACAATAGAGCGAAAGTAGCGCGCTTGGGTTTTTCGTCGCTTGCTATGGCTCGATCTCATGATCGATCGCGAGGCCATTCTTTAACCCAGTTTATCCTTATCAAGAGAGCATCGAGGTTTAGAAACCCTCTCGATAACAATACCAAGCGACGCCATCCGATCAAAGCGTTTCTACCCGAGACCGTCTTGATTGGCATCGCAAGACGACGACGACGAACACGATATGGACTTTGAAGCGCTCTTTCCGCCGCTCATATCACAGGACAATGACGACCTGAGCTCCGTTGACATTAGTGTTGATGACATTATCCTTCTGCCCCTCGAAAAAGCTGTGGACAGCGGTATTTATCGCGCTCTGCGGCGCTGGAACGAGGGCGACTCGGCGTTAACGGACCAAGCGCTGCCGTATGTCGAGCGAGTCAAAAAGTACCAGCGGATAGCTGCTATAGCACTGCAGTCAGACGGCGATTTAAACAGTACGGCAGAAGATGACGAAGATGAAGAAGACGAAGAAGAAGACGAAGAGGAGGAGGAAGAGGAGGAGGAAGAGACGGGTACTGCGTCGGAAGAAGAGCAGCTGAAAAAAATGGTCGGTCGAGCTGCTGTGGTGGCCAAGCAGAAGGCCGTTGCTGCGGCATTGATCCGACAGAAGAGAGAGCGCGAGAGACGGCAGAAAGACGCGAAAGCACAGCGTGTGCGGGTCGACGCCGTGTTTAAGGAACTGGCCGACATTGACGAGCTGAGGGCCGAGCGCGTGCCGAGTGAGCGGCTGCAGACGTTTGTCGACACGTTCAAGATCAAGAAGAGACGGGTGGCGCAGAAGCGGTCGAGTGCTGATACCGTGACGGCGCTGAGCTTTGAGTTTGCACGGCCAGTGCCAGATGTGCATGAGCACGAGGAGGACGAGACGGAACCGGCAAAGGAGAAAAACACCGAAGCAAGGGACACGGACGTCGACAGGGACTTGATTCTGTGGTTTGACGTGCTGCATCCGAGTAAAGACCCAGCGAAGACGCAGTCGTTCCTCGTGCGACGATCGCAACGGCTATCAGAGCTTGTTGACCTTGTTGCATGTGCGTATGACGAAAGGCTGGGTGAGCATGCCAAAGCGTCGAAGCTCTTGTACTTTGGCCAGAAGTTTTTCGTCGATCGACGGCTGCCAGGAACGCTGGATTACTCAAAGCAGATCGTTCGCTGGATCCAAGCAAAACCGGAGCGCCAGACAAAGTTTGGCACGTTCCCGGATAATGACCGAGTGGCTGGTAGCCTTCACACGTCGACCTTTGCGGACTTGCCGCTGCACGTTGACGTGCCTGGGGTGTACATTCACCAGGGCGAGTGTGAACACTTGGTGCGACTTCGAGATGCTCGTTTGCCGCATGAGCTTGACTCGCCAAAGAAGGACGGTATGTTTCCAATGCGACTGCCCAATCCCTTGCACCACGCGCTTCGCAACTGCCTGATATGTCAGCACTACAGCGCCAAGTTTGTGTGCTATGGCGACCGTCTTGCAGTGGTGGACCCGATGTTCTTTTGCGACCGCTGCTACCGTGCTGCCCACTATGACGCCAACGGAAATCTGCTCTATGACGACTTTTTGAGCTTCCCTTTTGTCCAAGACTAGCCGAGGTGTAAGTGCTATCAGCATTCATAATTTAAGTGACCACCAACTCAACGCACCGACATGTCTACCAACCTCTGTCAAAAGCAAACGAGCTCGTCACGGAAACTTGTCGTGCACGCCGTAGTCATTAACGGCCGTGCGTGAGGCCTTGGAAAACTTGGTCAGCGCTAGCACGCCGAGGCTGCAGGAAGCACTTACGACAAACATCATGTCGAAATACCGATGAAAGACGTTGAACTCGATTTCGCCAAGCACTTCGTCGATTCGCTGACTGCATCAATCCATCGACAAGCACACACAAAACACACCGTCAGTAAGTGCTTGTAGAATGATATCTCATGCGTTGCCGTACCGGTGCAGCGGGCTGAGATTCATTCGCATGAGGACAAACGAGGAGACGAAATACATTCCCATGAGGTGTGCTAGCCAGAGTACGACGCTGTTCGATGACACGGTGCTTGAATAGGTGCGAAAAAACTTCAGTAGCGTCACCAAGAAGCCTCGTGTCTGGGTGAAGACAAGAATACCGACGAAGCCAAGCGAAGCCACCTCCGACACGAAGCGGATATTCAGCTGCTCCGCCAGTGACGGCCAAATATACAGCAGCTTCTCGACAACGTCAGTGATCGGATCCTTGTCGCGATTTCGATGAAAGACCACATTTATCGTGCTCATCAACATCTTGTACACACAAAAGGCAGACATCGCGTAGCCAAAACAGTTGAACACTCGACCCCGCAACGTGCGAGCGCGCAGCGATCTTGCCTGCGCGTCTCGGAGGTCATTTACTTCCAAGAACAGCTCACGTCCCAGACTCTCGAGCGTCAAGATCTCTGCCTCCAGCCCTTTAATGTACGTCGTGTCGTCTTTTCTGGACGCAAACAACCTCAGTGTCCACGAAATGAACGAGTCAGTCTTGCCTCCACTTGCCAGAGCATCGTCTTGTCTCCTCCCCGACGCTCTCAATTCCAGTATCAGCCGCTTCTTCTTGACGATCAGGATATCCAGATTATGCCGCAGCCGCTTTTCGAGAAACTCAATATCTTCTTCTGCCACTCGACGCCAGAAGAAAGTCATGTACTCGTACGGGCAGTTGACGGCCCCAAAGCCCGACAAGAGCGCCATGAACACGACACCAAGTAGACTCACGCGACTCACAAAGTTTCGAATGGAGAACAACGCTGCAACACCTGCAGCAAAACAACAAAAGCATCAACAACAACAACAGCAACAGCAACAACAAGAAACCTCACATCACTCCACTGGTCACCTCTCCTCGTCGAGATGTTCCTCTTTTTCCCTCGAAAGAAAGCAATATGGCCTTCCAGCACACGCACCTTCAACTGACTGATGCGGCAGATCTTGTTCCAGGACTCGACCCAGTTTCCAAAAGCCATACAGATACAGCAACAGCGTCGCACTCGCACTTGCAGCTGCTTGTCTCCTAGCCGCGCCGTACTCTCTCGCGAGCGCATAAAAGAGCGAGAGCGGCAGGATGAGCACCACGAGATACGTCATTGCAATGAGATCAACGCGCCAGATCCACTGGCGACTGGCGACGCCCATCACGTCCGTGACTTCGAAGAGGACCATCTGGAAGATGCTGAGCGAGAACGTCAGGGACGCTGCAAAGAGCAGTGGCGTGGCGGCGCTGCGCACGGCATAGTCACGGAAGAGCCACGAGGAGAAGAAGAAGCGAGCGAAGAGGAAGAAGAGCAGCCAGCTGCTTGCGGCAAGGCCCACGTCGCACGACGGCAGGACCCACAGCGCCGCCAGGAGCGACAACTGCGCCATTCAACAAGTCGTCGAAGCGATTTACGTAAAAGTCGCGACGATATGATGCGTTTATCTCGATAAACTCTTTGCGTGTGGTGTGGACTACGTATGCTGCCAGTGCCCCAACAAGTGAGCATATCGAAGGCCGGGTCCTATGATGTGGTCTGATGCGCGGAATCAGAGCGAGGGTAGGGCAAGCTGACGAGCTCGTCGGTGATTCTGCAAACGATTGCGGGCGGGAGACTTCGAAGGCAGTAGCCAGGAAAAAAGCGATTGCAAGTGGGCTGTTGGGTAACCTCTCGTGGTAAGCCTGGACTGACTTTGCCTAACAAGTGCTTGACTGCCTATAATGGTACGGTACGGTGGTCTTCTACTCAGCTTATTTCACCGAACAGAGACGATCAGATGTACTGCAGCTGGTAGGGTATGGCAGGTGTGTAGGCGAGACCGTCATGGCTGGTGGCGTTTTCGACGACGTGATGACGCGTTTCAGTAACTGGTGTTGTTATTGGTGACCGAATGCGCCATGTGAGGCCCCATGCACGTTATGTCGGAGTGATGAAAGAGTGAGTTGATCTTCGAATGGAGGTCACTTGCTTGGGACTCGCAAACGAGCTAAACTGATGGGACAAGGAAGTGCATTAGCACCTTCCCCAACTACGTGAAAATATTGCATATACTGCCGGGCTTGTACGCTACATCGACATTCACCTGTTACCGTCGACGCTACCAATGGAAGCTGAAGATCATAATCTGCACACACTAGGAATATGACGGTTGCAATCGATAAGGATCGTTGCATTCAGTGTTGCGTAACGTATCCCCTAGGCTTGGCCAGGTGTACGTGTAAGAATGTAGTGGTGCACTTGTTGCAAAGGGGTAGAAGTAATAGTGAAATGTATTGTGTGTTAAAACCCATCTTCTTCAACACTACGATTTGTATGACCAGAAACAGAAACTACAACTTGACCATGTCAAGTTGCATATGACGTCCGTCTCTCTTCGTCCCATGTGTTGTCCTGTCACATGACGACCGTCTCTCCAGTCCCATCTGTCATTATGACACATTATAAACCAATCAAGTGAGGTCGGGCTTACCTGTACCAGGTCTTGTACTTGACCTGCAACACCTTCTTCACTTGTCAGAAAGAGTATATTCTAACACTCCTCCTCGACGTCACCCTGTGTAACGGGGTTACACGTCGGCTGGTAGTCGACGATAGGTGTGGTGCACACAAGAGAGGGGGTACTATATAAAGTAATTTTAGAACACAGTGAGTGTATCAATTGTTGAAGACTGATGTCTGTCATCAATTGATTGCGAGATCTTTCAAGAGGTTATTTAGGGCAGGTTAAATACGTTGCTCTAAGGTGTTCTTTTAGGTTAATCAAAGAAATAAAAATTCAGTTCCCCTTTTGATCACTGGAAGACACGTGCCTCACGAGGCGTCTTTGATCGGTAGGAGCTAGCAATACCTGTGAAGGTAGCTACTCCTGAGCACTCTGTGCTGTGATTCTTTTGAATCGTTTGGTCCCTTAGGAACGGGGACCGTAAGCTCTCTGAGCTTGTTGACTCTCTGAGTCGGGTTCGTAGAACCAAAGTTGCTCGTAAGAGCGTTAAGTCTTCCTCTGACTTAAGGAGCTGTGTAGCTCCGCTACACTTGGTAGCACTAGTAGTCAATCTACGCCTAAGTCGGTAACGACTGATCCTCTGTGAGGATGGAGCAATCCACACCCCTCTCTGAGGCCCAAAAGGCCGCGCTTGAGAAGCTCACCGCGGCCGTAGGCCCAGAGTATGTGGAGTTTCTAGCTGCACAGGGTCCCGATGTGCTCAATGCACGAGTCGAGGCCTTTATGCAGTATGAAACGGCCCTGTTGGGCCAGGTTCAAAACCACGTAGCGTCAGCTATGCCGACACGCTACGTGGCGGTGCCACCAGAAGAGGTTAAGCCTCGTCCCCTTTGGGTGAACGTTAAACATTAATCCGGGAAGGAGGGGGAAAACTTGACCCTCTGGATCCGTGAGATTGAGATGGCCATGAGATCTGGCTTGATCTCAATCGAGCATCAGCGAGTCTCGCTGGCCATCTCAAAACTCGATGGAAGAGCTAGAGAATGGGCTTTGACGTGCGGCACGTCAGTCGACTCGGCGTTACCCACTTGGGATTCGCTCAAGCTAGACCTATTGCGAGTTTTCTCGCCGCCTAACCAGGCATATCGCGTGCGCGCACGCTTCTTGTCTACCCGTCAGGGTAAGAACGAGTTAACAGACTATGTCCAGGAGTTGAGAACTCTGATGGCTGCCATGCAGTCCTACCCTCTCCGTGAGACCGTATACGTGACAGTCTTCATGGAAGGTCTTCGCACTGGCGTTGCCAGGACCGAGGTCTTTCAAGTCCATCCCTCAACTTTTGAGGAGGCTGTGAGCATCGCTCAGAATGCTGAGCATAACTTTAAGTCAGTAAGACTTGGTTGGAATGGTTACAACCCAAGCTATGCGAGGGCAACCTCAGCAAATAGCTCAGCTTACTGTAATCCCTAACCGATGGATATCAGGAATGCTGAAGATGAAGGTGAAGCTGAGCTTTATGTTTCCGAGCAACGACTGGGTGATGCGCTGTTACATGTGCGGAAGCAGTAAACACTTGCGTCCCACTTGTCCTTTGCGTAAGCAACGACCGACTCCTACGGGTCGAAACCCCATCCTCAATCAAAAACTTGGTATGGCACGGGGAAACGTCGACACCCAGTAGGCGCGGGGCGCCCTACTGGGGTAGAACTGAGTTCTGTCACTTCTCTACGAGGTAGAGCAACACAGGGATTAGCCCCACAGAGCTCCGTTCCAGCAAGCGCAGAGCGTGGATACAAGCCTGGCTTGTTAGTCGCCGAGGCGATAGTTAAAGGCTTTGAGAAGCACTGGTCGATATTAATCGATTCTGGAGCGTCATGCAACTATGCTAGACTCCGTTCCCTTGAGGGGAGTCAGCAATATGCTGAGGCGCTCAAAGCGCACGATGGTGATTCCATCACTGTTCAGTTAGCGACGGGTAGTCGCGTTACTGTGCCTAAAGTTCCGTTGAACTTGGGCGTGAAGTTTTTGGACTTTGATAGCATAGAACGCTGTCTCGTCCTTGACTTGGATTCGAGATGCGATCTCATCCTAGGCATGGCATGGCTTGAACGCCATGGACCATGGATCGATTGGAGGTCTAAGACCTTAGGCGCCACGCGCAATGTTCCTAGCGAAGCTTTGGAAAGTCATGAACCCACCTTTGCTAGGCAACAAAAGCACTATTGGCGCGAGTCATTGGCGGAAGATGTCAATGTTCTGGTTCCTGGTATGTCGGAGATAACTAACTCGAATGTCTATAACATGAATATTGAGCGGAGCTCTTTCACCGATTGCAAAGAGAATTGTAATCCAATGAGTGATACTCGTTGTGATACTGAGTCACTGCATGCGTCAAGCATGGTTGGCCTACGGGTGGGACATACAGGAAGTAATTCCCATGATGTCAGTGCGGTGGCACGTGAAATTAAACAGAGTGAGGGTGGCCGAGGTGGCACCTCACTGAATGTCGGTAATGACATTGATGGCGAGAAGCTAGAGTGTTCAGGGATAGGCCCCAATGCTGTACGTGAAGTGGTCCGTGTAAATCCACTGGGTGAAGTGTTTGAGTTACGTAACACTTCACCAGATGTCGTTCAATACATGAGCTGTCGTATAGAGCGTGCTAAGATAAATAGCAACCACGGGGACCCGACTGTCCCGGCCTCTAGGAGGCGTACGGTTTCTGTGAGGAAACGATTCCAGCGTAGGGTGGCAACGGAGAAGCGCCCAACGTCTAAGAAGTCACGAAGTGATAATAGTAATAATAAACTATATACACTTGTCAATGGGTTGACTGGCCAGATCGATGGATACTCTATTTCAACTAGACGAAATGTATGACGGCGAATTTAGCCAAGCCTTGCAGGCAGGAGAATTATCCGAGTTAGTGGTCATTCGGCTTGATATTGAGTTGAACTCATCCTCGTTAGTGGACGAGTCTGTACTTGAGGACACAAAGGCGGCATTGGATGCCCGTAGTGGATCTTCGATGCTTAAAGATCCTCTTGATCCGTTCTATCTTTTGGTGAAGGAGTTTCAGGACGTGGTGTGTCACAACCCACCGTCCGTCTTACCTCCCGAAAGAGGTGTACGTCATGAAATTGACTTGGTTCCTGGAACTAAATACTGCGTAACACGGCAGTGGCCTTTACCGAAGGAACAGTGTGACGTCATTGACGACCTCTTTCGTGCAAAGCACGCAGCGGGCATGGTTCGTGAGAGCAAATCTCCTCATTCCACGCCCACATTTTGTGTTCGAAATCCCAATGGAAAGTGGCGCATTGTTCATGCTTACAATAAGCTTAATGCTGCCACGATCCCGGCTCAGACACCAATCCCTCGGAAAGATGTTCTTCAGAACAATATGGTGGGATGTACAATGTACAGTGCACTCGATTTAGTCGATGGTTATTACCAATTACTCATGCGTGAGAAAGATATCCCGCTAACAGCGGTTAGTACCCCGAGCGGTATGCTCTGGGAGTGGCTAGTTATGCCACATGGCTTGTCAAACGCGCCAGCTACGTTCAATCGTCTTGTGACGCAACTGTTTCGGCCTCACCGAGTTTATGCACAGACCTTCTTTGATGACATATTTGTCCATAGTCGTGCTATGAACGGCCGGTCTGATGTGGATAATCACATCGACCATTTACGAGCAGTGCTCGAGTGCATGTGCACAAACAAGTTGTATGCCAACGCCTCTAAATGCATCTTTGGTGCACAAGAGATTCCCTTTTTAGGGTGCATCATTGGGAAGTGTGGTCTTAGAGCGGATCCCGCTAAGATAAAAGCCATAGTAGATTGGCCGGTTCCTAAGAACCAGAAGGACTTACGTAAGTGACTTGGTCTTGCCAATTACTTACACAAGTATAGTGCAAACTATGCGGACATGGCTTGACCATTAT